GATGAATGCGGACCGCTACCGCCTGAAGGGGCGAGCTTAAATCAATACATCTCGCAGGCACGGCGTTATGGACCAGAACCATAACACCTCCGTGCGCGACGGTTTCAGTAGCAAGGTCCCTGCGAAAAACCGAAAATCCTTTCATGGGGAACCTGGACTCAGATCTGAGTTTGGTTTCTTGGATGCAAGCAACCAAAGGTCGCTGAGAGCGGATTAGTGCTTGCAGTTCTGGAGTGCTAGAACGCAAGCCTCTGCAGTTCCACTGCAGGATAAAACGTGTTATTGCTGTAGTTTTGAGCGCTTGGGGTAAGCGAAAGGTGTCTAAAACTGGCGACTTTGACTTGAGTTAAAAAAAAGGCGGGGACTTAAAAATGCTCCTCGCCACCGGGGCCCGGGCCACCGCCAAAGGCTACCTTTGGATGGCCCTCGCGGAGCCGTCCATCGGCCGACCTAGGCCGGCCCGTAGCTCCCGGTTGAAACTTCAGCCGCGAGCGGGGGCTACCATCGTTTGACGGAGATAACTCCCACGGAAGTGTGCGCTTCGTGGGGCGGCCCGGGGCGGGCGGCGGCCCCGCCGGTCTCGGCTCCGATGGTGGTGTGCATGGCGGGGGTCGGGGTCCCGACCCCTCGCCCGAGGCGGGCACCGGAGGGGCACCAGAAGGACGCTGTGAATGGGTTGGAGGGAGTGGAGGAAGTGGAGGGGGTGGAGGGGGTGGTGGTGGCGGTGGGAGCGGGGGTGGGGGAGAAGGTGGAGGGGGCGGAGGAGGTGGAGGGGGCGGAGGAGGTGGAGGGGGCGGAGGTGGAGGAGGGGGTGGAGGGGTAGGGGGAGGTCCCATCAGAGGTGACGGGGCCGCCCCCGGCCCACCAGGACCTCCACGGACAGAGGACGCTCGACGCTCCTCAAGAGCCTGGGCCATCCTCCGCCCTAGTCTGGCGTCCTGCTCAAGCCGCTCCTCCCGACCGCGGCGCAGAGCCGCCATGACTGCAGTCTCCCTGGGCGGGGGTCGACGGATCTCCGGAGACGTGAACGGGGCCCGTTCGACAGAGCGCGGCGGTGGGGGCGGGCCCTGGCGACGACCCCGGGCGAGGGTCCACTCACCACCCCGCGGCGTGGCCGTATCCTCGGGGGCGGCTGAAGCCTCCACCACCGCCCCAGTCTCATCCTCTCTTCCTCCCCCACGGGAGGGGGACGAGACTCCTCGCCTCCTGCTTGGCGACGTCTGCGTGGCGGAGCACGACAACGCTTTAGGGGGCTCCTGTTGAACTGATGAGTTGCTGTGACTGTTGGCATCTGGGACAAAGCAGAAGCCGAATGACTTCAGAATCGCTATTAACTGACCGATGCTGTTGTTGGTATCAGTTTCAGTGGGGCAGCGCTGTCTAGAACCGTTGGCCACACTAGCATAAGACCGCTTGGGATGGAGGGCAGCAAAGCGGTCTCGGGCCTGACGAAATGACAGCCTTTCGGTGACCTTCAGGGACATTATTTCTTTTTCTCTCTGGAGGGCCGGGCATCGCCCATCAAACGAGGAATGTGGAGTCTGAGAGTCGTCACAATTGACGCATCTCAACTCGGACGACGAACATTCGGCACTGCTATGGTCATTTGCCGCACAGCTCCCGCATGCTGGTCTGTTCCGACAGCTGTCTCGAGTGTGACCGAATCGGAGACACTGAAAACAACGCATGGGACTCGGGACATATGGTCGAACTTTCACGGACATATATCCTATCATCACCTCCCTCGGCAGTTCCAGCGAGTTGAAAGTCAAAATGATACTGTGCGTGGGTGCGAGAGCGCCACTTCGCTTGGTGTAGATGCGGCGGGCGGCGGAGACCCCAAACTGTGACAGGCCTTCGGCGATCTCGTCGTTTTGCATGCCCTCCAGATCGTCGCAAAAAATGACCCCTCGGCTGGAATTTTTCGTGCGATGCGGCGAAACGCTGACCGAAAGGTTTACTTCCTTCCTGCCCTGCTGATCCTTAACTGTGTATGTGAAGTGAGTAGCTTTCAGGGCCCTTTCCGCCTCTCTATCGTCAACAAACTCTACTTCGATGCCTCCGTCTCTAAGTTTTTCACACCTCGCAATCTTACCAAATCTGTCACAGCCCTCTCGTCTCTGAAAGGGAGACAGCGACGCGAGTTTTCGTTCGTCGGATGTGAATATAAGAACTTTTGGTCGTGCTCCACCGACTGCACTAGGTGCAAGGGGTTCAGCCGAGGCTGTGGTCCGTGGGGGTGCCAAGTGAGAATCCATGGAAAGTGTAATTGTTTCGGTCCCGCAGCCTCCCACCCACCTCGGAGCCCAACTGGGGGACGGCCACACTCCCCCGTAGGGTGGTGGTCCGCCAGGAGTACTGCAGGACTATACGGGGGCCGGGACGCCAAAAGCAGCAAGACGAAGCCGCCGGGTACGGGGCCGCGTGAGCCGCGGCCGCCGCAGAGCCATGCGGCACGGGACCGGACCTGATCCCGCGCGCGGACATGGATACGGTGGCGCTAAGCCCCGCGCTGAAGGAATCAGGCGGCCCCTGCACCCGGCGGCAACCCCCCGCATACCCGTCGTCCAGCCCCCTTGACCCCGATTAGCCAGTGCTGCACAGGGCGACGCCTGACCGGCCGATTTCCCTCATGCGAGGCCAACATGGGGCATCCCGCAGATCCGGGGATTGGCGCCAAAGGCATGTGTTGGAAGGCTGCCCCGACTAACCCGCAGGGCAGCCCCCTCAACGCCCAGACATCCTCTCCCCGGTCTTTGGGCCGAAGGTACGGCTAGACCGATAAAACCAGGGAAACCAGAGAACAAAGAAGATGAGCGAGTGCAAAAAAAAAAACTGGGGGAAGCGTGCGAAACCGATGAGGCAAGCAGCCTGCAAGACCGGTACAGCGTAGGAAAACTGAAAACGCAATCAACGCGAGTATCCGCAAAAAAGGCAACAGACAGGTACAAAACAACCAAGAGCAATTCACGTGAAAAGAGTGCAATGCAGCAAACTGGCAATGGAATCGTGCACAAGGAAGATAAGCAAGTGTAAAAAAACAACAACAAAAAAAAACTGGGGAAGCGTGCGGAACCGGTGAGGCAAGCAGCCTGCAAGACCGGTACAGCGCAAGAAGACTGAAAACGCAGCCAATGCCAGTGACCGCAAAAGAAATATGGGCAACAAACGGGTACAAGACGACCAAGAGCAATTCACGTGAGAAGATGGCACGATTAGAGACTGGAATCGCATTATGCAATGGAATCGTGCACAGAGAAGATGAGCAAGTGTTAAAAAAAAACTGGGAAGCGTGCGAAACCGATGAGGTAAGCAACCAAATGAGTGCAAACCAGCCAGGTGAGAAGACGGCAACGAGGCCGACTGGCAATGGCATTGGGCAAACATCAAATCCAGCAAGTGTGGGCAAAGTCAAGATCACACATATGGCAATCAACGCGAGTATCCGCAAAAAAGGCAACAGACAGGTACAAAACAGCCAAGAGCAATTCACGTGAAAAGAGTGCAATGCAGCAAACTGGCAATGGAATCGTGCACAAGGAAAATAAGCAAGTGTAAAAAAAAAAAAAATGGGGAAGCGTGCGGAACCGGTGAGGCAAGCAGCCTGCAAGACCGGTACAGCGCAAGAAGACTGAAAACGCAGCCAATGCCAGTGACCGCAAAAGAAATATGGGCAACAAACGGGTACAAGACGACCAAGAGCAATTCACGTGAGAAGATGGCACGATTAGAGACTGGAATCGCATTATGCAATGGAATCGTGCACAGAGAAGATGAGCAAGTGTTAAAAAAAAAAAAAACTGGGAAGCGTGCGAAACCGATGAGGTAGGCAACCAAATGAGTGCAAACCAGCCAGGAGAAATTCGCGTGAGAAGACGGCAACGCGGCCGACTGGCAGTGGCATTGTGCAAACATCAAATCCAGCAAATGTGGGCAAAGTCAAGATTACACATATGTGTATCTAGGGCTGAGGGGGGGGGGGGGCGCTATTCCACTTCACCCGAGTGTGTCCGTGCGGTGCGTGAGAATGCAGAAAAGGCAACCAATGAAAATGCTCGCAAGAAAGCTGGGCAACAGACAAGTGCAAAAACTTAGTGCAAACCACGTGAGAAGACGGCAAGGCAGTATAAGCTGGCAGTGAGGAGAAACACCCGGAAGGAGCGGAACCGGGCGCAAAAAAGACACTCATCAGACACAAAGGGAAAAAAAGAAACCAAGAAAGGTCTGACTTGTCGTCTATCAATCCAGGGTCGAGTCCGGTTGTAATCGAGCATGAGTCAAGCTGGGGCCGAGGGGGCGCTACTCCCCTTGCTGGCGGAGGTCAGGGCCGCCGCAGGACGCGGGCCCAAGGAACCCAGGCCACCGCCAGCCCCCTGCGGGGCCAATCTTGCAGAAAATCCATCCGACAATCAAATCAGAGCCGAGGTCAAACGCAAGTCAAGCTGGGGCCGAGGGGGCGCTACTCCCCTTACTGGCCGAAGTCACAGCCGCCGCGAGGCCAGAGCCCAATGGTCCCGGCCAAGCAACGGCTCTGACCACGGTCAGCCCCCTGCGGGGGAGTCGGAGTCGGAGTCGGAGCTGGTTTTTTAAAGCCGGAGTCGGAGTCGGAGTCGGAGTCGCCGAAAATCCATCGACTCCGCAGCCCTGATTGTAATAGATTGCGTACCTATATCCCCCGGCCACAGAAGGCGACTGATGATTGGAGAGTAAATAGTTGCCACGCATTCGTCAAAAAGACAGCAATATGACGACAGCGCAATCATCAATACTTTGGCCGGTATTCCGCCACAATCGGGCGTGGATTTTTATGATAAATGTGTGACAAGTCGCCGGATGCTTCATTACCGCGACCGCGGTTCACTGCCGCTTACCTATGCACAGTGCCTACTTCACTCTCAACGTCAAAGCACCTACCGAAGCCCGCTCCCCTGCCCTGTCCTGCCCTTCCTCACAATGAAGAGTACGTCCTAACCTACACCGCATTATTCCCCGCTCCTTACCTGTGTGTTTCTTGTCCTTTCTGTGTTTGTCGTCTCGTTTGATTCGCAAAGCGGACGGCACAAACCGTGTGACGTCCGCGCCAAGGTTCCTGTCCAGCCGAACAACAAACATCCGTCAACAAACATACCGAGCTTCCGGACAAACACTGCGGGAGGACTAAACAAACAACACACTGCACGACGCGGGTACGCACATTTAGACCAGTGACCTACATCACAACATGATCAGCACAAAATCAGAAAATGAATCAGCACTCTAACCAACAGCATTCCTATCATACGCTATGTAATTACGGTGAAACCGAAAAAGCACACCAGCAACATTTTTTTTGTGGTTTAAACTAATTAATTTGAAACTATGTCGCTTGACCCCAATATGAGCAGCAATGACGATCTAGCACACATTTCATATCCAGTTATACATATATGAGCCTTCTCTCCTCTCCTATCCAGCTTTCCTCCCCTCATCTTGACCTCCCCCCCCCCTCAGGCAGAAGAAATCGTGAAATGCTAGCCCTTTACTCTGTGCCACCACTCTGCTTTCCTCCTCCCTCTCCTCTTCCCGTGCCATGCCCGCCCCCTCACCTGATCTGCGGCTTAGCCTCGATGGTAGCCGACTGTTTGTTGTCTCTCAGCTGGGGCCCGGCGGAGAGCACGTTCGGGTTGGAGGGAGGTGGAGCGGCAGTTACCGGAGGTACTGGAGGACGCATCATCCGCGGAGGCACGCCTGTAGGGAGACGGGGGAGTGTTATACTACGGAGACAGAGTCACTGGCCAGTCATAGCAGTCACAGGGGGTATTGGAGGGCGGATCATCCGTGGTGGTACGCCTGTGGGGAGACAGAGTGTTATATAGTATATACAATGCACATGGTACAGAAACAGTCAGGTACTGGCGAGAAACATCGGTAAAGTTGCACTCACAGTAATTGACATGGAGGTTGAAATCCTACTTTAACCTTACCAGCCCCTACAGACGAGGGACCGTCATTACTTTCAGCATAGGCTGTGTGATTCTAACCACAAGACTACACGTCTACCGGCGGCTGGGAAATATCATGCATAGAGTCAATAGCATCATCATAACCATTACTTATTCAAATGCCAACTCCTTTATCCGGCCATAGTACGCGACTTTGGGCCGTCTGCCCTATAAAAATCCACCTTTTTGGGGTTGGGACAAAAAGCTGTTCGCCTGTCCCTTCCCCAATTCATCTGTCTGTCTGTCCGGTCCCTCTATCTAATATTATCGTCCATCCAGTTTCCTCCCCCTCTCTAATCTTTCATTTTCCCTTCCTTACCTGGCGGCGGTTCGAGCGGCAGGCCGGGCGGTGACGATCCCCATCCTTCTGCCCTCCTTCCTTCCCTTCCTCATTCTCTCCCTCCCCGTCCCTTCCCTTCCTCACCTGGTGGCGGTCCGGGCGGCAGCCGCATCCTGGGCGGTAGGCCGGGCGGTGGTCCCGGCGGCAGACGGAGGCCAGGCGGGGGAGGTCGGAGCAGCATCGGCGGCACGCCGGGCGGTGGACCTGGAGACGGGGTACAGACAGATCTCAGTGGGTGTTAGAGGTAGATATAGGTCATTAAGAGACACGGAATCACACGGAGGGATGTCACAAAATCCATAATAAAACAGCCAGCAGGTAGCAGACTAGATACTAAATGCATGTCATGATAGAAAATATACAGCGCTAGGGGCGAAGTCACGCAACGGGATGCGTCAGCAATAAAGACAGACTAGGTGTCTGTCACTATGCAGGGTGTCTCAAAGGTCTTACAGTCACACGCAAAGACACAAATTATCAGACATACCCGCGTCTGGATCAGATATTTCCCACCTGTATGGAACATACTGACAAACGGGTGACAAAGCCATATTATACATGTCACAATTACAGACACAATACACAAAAACACACTTATAAATTATAATCCAAATCAGCCACATGACGAGCCACCGAGTCTTGTCACCCAGTGAACGTTTCACCAGCTGAGGCCTCTTGCACCAAAATCCTCTTGTACCAATCCTTGGGATATTTTGCATCGTATACCCAATCTAAGTCTCAAATGTAACAATTCGCGTGCAAAATTTAGCAAGCACATGTAGGATTGTGTATTGGCCTTGGGCTATTGCAAACAAATTTACCACCGTTAGATTAGCTTATTCTGAAACCGGTTTTTCGATTTTACCTAGCTTGGTAGTTTGGTGCAAGAGGCCTCTGGTCGCGTTCCCTTCCACTGACCTGGTGGCATGGTGTGCTGAGCCGCCGGCGGTCGGTGTTCTCCGCCCACCAGAGGTCGCAGTTGAGGCGGACCCCCGGCCGCCGCCGCCGCAGCGGCGGCAGCAGCGGCAGAGGACTGGGCTCCCACCGCGCGGAGCCGCTCCTGGAGGTCCGAGGGCCCGGCTCCGGCTCCGGCTGCGACCCCGGCTCCGGCTCCGCTGCTGCTGATGCCCAGACGGTCCTCTCGCTGCTTCATGAGCTGCTCAGACTGGAGGCAGAAGGCAGGATACCAATCAGCTAAAGGCAGACTTTGTGAAGGCGAACAGGCTCGCTCAGTCCAGAGACGGACACTGAATTCAACTGAAGTACCAAATGGTCAACGACAAAAAGAATAGCACGTTGCACATTGTTCAGAAGAGTGTTACTAAATACACATATTAAATGCGCCTAAGATAGCTGTTAGGATCGTAGAACGAAGACGGCATGCTGTCACCGATGACAACGTTTAATTCAATACAATTTATTGGCCTAAAATAAATCAGGGCAATAAAAACAACCAGAGATCATAGAAAATATGGGAAACCAGCCAAGGCAGCGGACATCACGATAATTATGATTTGAAGTTACTGTGCGCCCAGACAGGAGGGCATCGCGGAGCCTGGCATGACAATAATTGAACAAGCACCCTGTCGCTGGCCCAATCTGATAAAATGCAGTACTATAATTCTATTCACGGCATTTGGTAGCATTTACAGTGATATCAGTGCAGACAAACGGTTATCCGAGTCAACGAAATGATTCTTTAGATCGTCACCATACGATGGACTGAAATGCGTGAAAGCCATTTTGCATTTGATAGGTGTTTTCTGCAGCTGAACTTCAGTCAGTGCTGCCATATCCATTCCCCGGCGTTTATAAGATTGAGCCCCTGAGTGATCAGCCCAGTTCTACCGCACGTCCTGCCCAGCTCCCTCACTGCTCCTACCTCCTTCATGAAGCTGTCGATGTCCTGTCCGCTCATCTGCAGCATCTTGAGCTGCATGCTGTTGAACACGCCGCCGGAGGACTTTGATCGGTCGTCTGCCCTCTCAGACGGAGGCTCCTCCTCGTCACCCTCGAAGCGGATACGGCGCGAGCGAGACGGGCCGGCGCCACCCTCTGTGTGAATAATGGAGGGTGAGGTGGCCACCGCGGAGAATAAGAGCTTACTGGTAAGGGGACTACAGAAGACACTGTCTCAGACAATCTGGAATTAGAGCACGATAAAACTGCTGAAACGAGTTTGAGACGCCACTGGATACGGCGTCATGGCGACTGACGATATGACCCTCGCATTGTGCTATAAGATCTACCAGCTCACTATAAAACTGTGCACGCGTCCTAAATGGAGATATAATTTAATGCGATCATGCAGGTTTTATGAACATGTAGCCACATAACTCCTTGTCAAAAGACCACCTGAAATAGTTGCGTCACAACTGAGCTTTTAACAGTCCCGACTTCTTTTTCTCTGCTTCCTGTCTCCCTGTTCCCTAACTCACCGCCATCATGATCCATCTCTTCATCCGACTCCTATCCCACCCCACAACCACAATCCCACTCACCGCCATCATGATCCATCTCTTCATCCGACTCCTATCCCACCCCACAACCACAATCCCACTCACCGCCATCATGATCCATCTCTTCATCCGACTCCTCCCTCTCCTCCCTGGTCGTTTCCTCTGTGGGCTCCGTTCCGGGCGGATGGAGGCTGGCCGGCTCGGGTTCAACCTCATCCTCAGGTAGCTCCAGAGGGGGCGGTGGACCGGGTGGAACACCGGGCGGTCCGCGGCGGGGCTCCGCGCCTTCCCTGGGGGATGGATGGAGGCTGTGTTAGCGGGGAGAGGGAGGGTGCGAACTGCGAGACCATGACAGCATACCTACTGAAGAACTGTATTTATTATGTCTAGTTGTGTCGGACGCAAGTCGGTATCCTTTATATCGGGAAGGAATCTACACATATCAACATGAGGGAACGCAAACAGTCTAAACAGAAGTATTAAGTAACATCAAAGGGGAAGGGCGCTTGCATCGAAGAACCTTCTCCCTTCATATAAACTGGATTCGTAAGTGCGCTAGTCGCATCTGACATTTACACACTTCTTCAGAGCTAAACGTATCCATCTAACAAACGTCAAATTTGTCTGAGCAACCAGACGGCATGTCCTAAGAGCAACATAAAAGCCAGCAAAGATGTCTGATCTTATGCGTAAATGACATTAACAAAAATGGCAGAGCGCAGCTGCCTTTCGCAGCCCTCTTCGCTCGCTGACTGACCCTGGCTCCGTCCCTGGCGGATGTCTCTTCAGTATCCCGGCAGCGGGCGGCGGTGGCAGTTCCAGACCAGGCGGCAGTGGTATGTGCGCCGGTGCCGTCTCTGGTAGGAGGTTCTGTGGGAGAGGGATCTCCTCCACCTGGACCTAAGGGGTGAGAGTGTGTCAGTAATGGGATGGTGATAATTGTACTGTCTCGCCGTGTATTGGCGGTAACACAACCAGTCAAGACAGTTGTAATAAAAGTATCACGCACAACAGCACCGCAGCCGAGCGTCCATCGCGAGGCCCGCAACAAGACTGGCCCTCGTCCCTGACCCCCACCGCTCCTTCCAGTGACCGGTCATCCAAGGTCACACGTTAGGCGGCAGCACTGTCGACCAGACCGGGCATAAGGCCACTAAATACTACAATGATTTAATGCAACAGGGCGCACCAGCGACGAGGTGAGATCGCGGCAGTAAGGGAGGAGAGAGGGGACAGAAGGGGCGGAGTGGTATTCGCGACAGAGAGGGACAGAGGGATGCGTTCGGAGGGAGGCCGGAGGGGCGCCTTAGTAAAGGGATGGTGAGGAGACGCGTCAGTGAGGGAAGGGCTGACAGGATCCATTGGCTATCATTCTATCGTAAGTTCAACATCAATTAACCTTCCGTAATTCCCAAATTACTGCATGCGAGCAACTGGTGACGGTTGTAGCAGAAACACTAGACCTTAAACGTCAAATGCCAGCTACCAGACAGCCTAAACTCAAGATCACATTAAACAATGAAGTCACGTTTTCACAAACGCAGTGAAGAAAACCTCCGCTCCCGACGCCGGTAGGTCCTTACCTGCTGGGCGTGTTTCACCGACTCGTAGTACGTGATGAGGGAGCCTCTTTTCTTCTCATACTCGGACTCGGAGCGGCGAATATCGGCCCAGTACTCTGGGTCTTCCTTCTCCTGTGGGACAAAAAATACAGTCACAGCTCCACACAGTCAGATACACACATTCACACTCAGTCACAGTCACAGACAGGAGCGGCGGATATCGGCCCAGTACTCGGCCGGTCCTCATTCTCCTGTGAGAACACACGAGACAGGCAGTCAGTTACAACTTACAGACATAGTTATATACACATATACAGGGTGGGGCAGAAAGATTTACCTGTTTGTTTTTAGCCCATAACTCAAAAAGTTTTGGACGGATTTTAGTAAAATTTTGCATGCGGCTTCCCAACTGATTCGTGTATAATTGTTCTGATCGGTTTTAATTCCGTCGTGGTTGTTTATGAGCTACGGCGGAGATTACAAAAAGAGCCCAAGTTGCGGCGCCGATGCAGGCTGGCCACAGCGTCCGAAGCGTTCCAAAACAGCTCGGTGTTGCCATGAAAACTGTTAACAATCTAATGAAATGCCTTAACCCGGCAGTTGCTGGGGTATTTCGCCACCCACCGTTTGCTGGGGGGGGGGGGGCGTTAAACGCCCCCAGCCGATAACTCGAGAACCAATAGGCGCAGCGAAACGCACGAGGCGGCAAACGAAAGAACGCGACGAGACGCTTCAGATGAGTACTTTTAAGTTGAATTTTGAGGTCACAGGTCAGGTCAAGGTCAGGTCAAACACCTGAAATCGGGCTTTCAGTAGCATGGACTTCAGGACTTCGCAAAGGGCGCCTCCCGTCATAAACTCTGTCAAAACGGTGCACAATCCATCATATAAGGCCTACAAGAGTGTCAGCTCCATGTAGGGGTCAGTCAAGCATAGGTCAGGGTCAAGGTCAGGTCAACCGGGCAGGCACATATCCCCGAAAATCAAAACTGATATTCGCAACCTGTGACACATGTTTTATGGGTAATTTGGGGCGTAGAACACGATGGTGACATTCATTTTACCATATGTGTACGTGTTTGGCTATAAAAGTTCAATTTAAGAAATGCATGTATCATGGTCGTGAAGTAGTCACGAGAAATTGCTAAGATTCACTTCAAGATTTTGGAAAATGCGGAACGATAATCAACAATCGAAGATAGCCATTTGATTGTTCATGGTATTGGCAGTCTAATGGCGTTTACGGCATGTCTGTATGTCTCTTCTGTGATTTTATATGATTTTTTGAACATATGCCGTTTTTGGTCGAAAACTCAGAAATCATGACGTCACTAAAACCTCGATATCTCAAAAACTCTCCGACCGATTTTTTTGAAAGTTTGTCAGAATAAACTTCAATCAATTCCCTACAGGTACCCAAAATTTGGCGCGCCTGCGGCGCGCCGTTTTTATGCTATGGCCCGGCGAAAAAAGTGGGGGCGTTTAACGCCCCCCCCCCCCCCCAGCAACTCGCGGGTTAAAGGGATAGGTACAGTGTCGACGAAGCCCATCCCAGGCAGAACAAGACATTTCCGCACCAAAAAGCTGGTTGATATCGTAAACAAGATGGTGTCTCGAAATCCTTGGCGAAACATGCGCAAACTGGCAAAGGACCTCGATTTTTCGCCCAAAACGATCAGAAGAATCATAAACGACGTTTTGAGCCTTGAGTCGTACACGATGCAACGTCGACACCTAATTTCGGCGGCATCCAAGGAGAGGCGGCTTCACAGGGCCCAAAAGATATTGGAGGAAATCAGAAGCGCCGGTAGCAAGGTCTTCCGCTGATCTGATAAAAATGATTTCCACGGTTCAGCCCCAGATGAACTATCAAGGCGACATAATCTTGCCAGATGGTACATGCAGCATTAATCCTGCTATCCAGGCCAGTTTTGGTCGCCACAACCCTGCTGGTGTCATGATTTGAGCTGCCGTCGCATCCGACGGCTCAAAAGGACCCTTGATCTTCATCGAGGCGGGTGTGAAAGTCAGTTCACACGTTTATGTCCATCTGCTAGAGGAACATGCTCTGCCTTGGATCGCTCAGTCGTTCCGAGACGGATACGTCGTCGTCCAGGACGTTGCGTCGTCTCATACGGCCAACTTCACTTAACAGTGGTGCAAGACCCACATGCCTGGATTCTGGGACAAGGACATGTGGCCACCATCAAGTCCAGACCTGAACCCGATGGACTTCACCACCTGGGCCATCCTGGAGAGCGAGATGTGCGCAACACCACACAGCAGCATCGCCGCTCTGAAGCTGGCCCTCGAGACGGCATGGTCGAATTTCGACGAGGACACCGTGCGGCGCTCGCGCCTCTCCGCAGGGAGAGGTTTCGGGGCAGGGATGAAGACTAAAGGTGACCATGTTGGTTCATAGTGCCGTTGCTGAGATGTGTACATGCTACTGAATACGTGTACCAAAAATCATTTGAATATCTTAGTTCTGGACCAAAATATTTTCAAAAATCAAGAGGTAAATCTTTCTGCCCCACCCTGTAATACGCACACTGTCACAGACAAACCCAGTCAAAGTCGCGGCACAGATACACAGTTACAGACAGGAGCGGCGGATATCGGCCCAGTACTCGGCCGGTCCTCATTCTCCTGTGGGCGCAAAACACAGTCACAGTTACACTTAGACACAGTCAGACACACAGTTACATACACACTACACAGTCATACAGACACAAACATGGACACACGAGCGCCACGGATATCGGTCCAGTACTCGTGGTCTTCCTTTTCCTGTGGGGAAACAACAAAGAGTCACAGTAAATACAAACACAATCATAATTAGACACAGGAGCTGCGAATATCGAGCCAGTGATGGGTGCTCCTTTGACACTGGACGATAGAAGTAAATGTGACTGATTTTATTATAATAAGCACTCAACACAATGTTTAGCTTCAAACTGCTGTCCTGCCCGTATGGTTTGAACGAAACATCTACGCTGGCCGCCGCCATAACTCACGTAGAGTTTGAGGACCCTCTCGAGCGTTTCTTTGAGTTTCTTCCGTTTTTCCTTGAGCACTTTCTCACTGAGCGGGGCCGAGGTATCCACGCTGAACTCTGAAACCGACAATAAACTGCATTGAGCGTGAGCTCTGGACAGGTAACGTATGTTGCGATAAAAATAACGCTCAAAACTTGAAGCACTGATACCGAAAGTAACACTTTCGCCATACGAGCCAAAGCATCATAAAATATCAGAAGAATAAAGGAATAAAAATACGCGTGAAGACAGTAATAAAAGAGATAAAAGTAAAACGCAAAAATTCAAAATTCAAAAGTTTAGGCCAAACATGCACTTATATGTCACATCTGTCATATGATAATCCTCAACACACAGTAATAAAAGATACGAGTGGTTGATGTATAAAACGTAAATCCTGTTGACCACGCCAGGAGTTCATAATGCGTTATCATCAGCTCCCGTCTGTCTCCTCTCCTGTTCACTGACCACATATCCCAGCAGGCCCCGAAATAGACCGTACCCATTTTGTCGATTTTCTCCAGCTCCTGCAGAAGCTCTCGCGGGTCCTTGTTCTTGAGCACAGCATGGCGCACTGCCATGCGCTGCTTCTTGTTCTTCTTCAACTCCTTCCGACGGGCCTCTTTGCCTGAAAAGACGAGGAAAGAGATCGTGTTGTCATCGGGTGTTATTTCTAAGTTGTGAAACCACTCAACGGGAGATTACAGAACACAATGCGATCATTCAAAAGAGATAATTCAGCATGGCTACTGTGAAAGGTCAAGAAAGATTGGACAGCCTCCCATACTCGGTAACCCGTATCACTGAATCCCCAAGTTCTGCCATGATCGCACAAAATATAAATCATTCCCAAAATACAGACTAGTCACTGAAAGCAAAATACAACCTCAGCACCTCAGTCCGCATATAATACACCACACAAACCGTAGCGCACTATAAGTTTTAGGCTGCGGCTGTCGGAAGTGACTTACGGGCCTGGTCAGTGGGGTTCATGTACTTTCCACTCTTGGTGGAGTTGATGGAACGGCGCCCCATGGCTGCCGGCTGCTGGAGAACCGCGCTGAGGAACGAAACCAATCAACTCTGCAGACTTAGTTCAATCCTGAAAAAGAGAATGTGTACGTCATATACACAGCCATGAGAAGCAAACCAGAAATGAAAACATCAGTGTATTTCTTTATTTCTTTGTCTCAAATCAGTTTATTGTTTGTTTTTCACCCATATGTCATCTCAAATTTCCCATCGTCGTCTTCAACTCTTCACTTCTCGTCTTGCATTTTGTCATCTACGTCCATATTCTGCCTCCGTGGGAGCAAAACCAGTACAGGTTTCACTTAAACATGCGCAATTGTAGGGTCAAGGCCGCCGTCCACTATGCGGAACGCTTGCGGTTCGTACGGGCTCCCACTGTAATCAGCTGAGTCCCACTGTGTCCTGCTGGAACCGGCAGAGTCCCATTGTGTCCCGCTGGGACGGGCAGAGTCCCACTATGTCCCACTGTATTCGGCTGAGTGCCACTATGTCCCACGGTAATAAACGGTATTTGGCCGAGTCCCACTATGTCCTGCTGTAGTTGGCTGAGTCCCACTTTGTTCCGCTGGGCGGCTGGGACGGGCAGAGTCCCACTTTGTTCCGCTGGGACGGGCAGAGTCCCACTATGTCCCACTTGACACGTTATATACTTTTTCATAATCCAATGACATCATTTAATTCAGCAGTGCTTCCATATTTGTCAATATATGTACTTACAATATACCAACCTTAGCTGTTCACACCGCCAAAGCTATCGATGACACCTATGCGGTAACGGTAGTGCAGGCGTCACCGATAGCTTCGGTGGTGTAAACAGTCAAGGTAGGTGTATTGAAAGTATATTGACATGGATATGGAAGCACTGTCGAATTCAATGACGTCATTGGAATATAAAAAGTCTCTAGAACTATATGAAAAAGTCTCTAGAACGTGTTGAGCGGGACAGAGTGGGACTCGGCCGACTACAGCGGGACATAGTGGGACTCGGCCGACTACCATGGGACATAGTGGGACTCAGCCGGTCCCAGCGGGACACAATGGGACTCGGCCGGTCCCAGCAGGACAAAGTGGTACTCAGCCGACTTCAGCGGGACATAGTGGGACTCAGCCGACTACTGCGGGACATTGTGGGACTTTGCTGACTACAGACTTACAGAGAGATATAATGGGACTTGGTGGGATTCTGCCGGTCCAAAGTGGGACTCAGCTAACTATAGCGGGACATAGTGGGATTCGGCCGGTCCCAGCGGGACAAAGTGGGACTCAGCCGACTACAGCGGGACATAGTGGGACTCAGCCGACTACAGCGGGACATAGTGGGATTCGGCCGGCCCCAGCGGGACAAAGTGGGACTCATCCGACTACAGCGGGACATAGTGGGACTTAGCCGACTACAGCGGGACATAGTGGGACTCAGCCGGTCCCAGCGGGACACAATGGGTCTCAGCCAGTCCCAGCGGGACAAAGTGGGACTCAGCCGACTAAAGAGGGACATGGTGGGAATCAGCCGAATACTGCGGGACATTGTGGGACTTTGCTGACTACAGAGGGATATAGTGGGACCTGGTGGTATTCTGCCGGTCCCAGCGGGACACAGTGGGACTCGGCCGGTCCCAGCGGGACAAAGTGGGACTCAGCCGACTACAGCGGGACATAGTGGAACTCAGCCGGTTCCAGCGGGACAAAGTGGGACTCAGCCGGTCCCAGCGGGACATAGTGGGATTCGGCCGGTCCCAGCGGGACAAAGTGGGACTCAGCCGACTACAGCGGGACATAGTGGGACTCAGCCGGTCCCAGCGGGACATAGTGGGATTCGGCCGGTCCCAGCGGGACAAAGTGGGACTCAACCGACTACAGCGGGACATAGTGGGACTCCGCCGGTTCCAGTGGGACACAGTGGGATTCGGCCAGTCCCAGCGGGACACACTGGGACTCAGCCGATCCCAGTGGGACTTCATGGGACTCGGCCGGTCCCAGCGGGACATAGTGGGACTCAGCCGAGTGCCGACTACAGCTAGACATAGTGGGAGTCAGCCGGTTCCAGCGGGACAAAGTGAGACGCGGTCCGGCCGACTTTTTCCCGCTGGATCCGACTGAGTCCCACTATAATGTCTCGCTGGAGCCGGCTGAGTCCCACTATGTTCTGCTGTTGTCGGCTGAGCCTCACTTTGCTCCGCTGGGACCGGCCGAATCCCACTATGTCCCGCTGTAGTCGGCTGAGTCCCACTTTGTCCCGCTGGGACTGGCCGAGTCCCACTGTGTCACGCTGGGACCGGCAGAATCCCACCAAGTCCCACTATATCCCTCTGTAGTCAGCAAAGTCCCACAATGTCCCGCAGTAGTCGGCTGAGTCCCACTATGTCCCGCTTAAGTCGGCTGAGTCCCACTTCGTCCCGCTGGGACCGGCCGAGTCCCATTGTGTCCCGCTGGGACCGGCTGAGTCCCATTGTGTCCCGCTGGGACCGGCTGAGTCCCATTGTGTCCCGCTGGGACCGGCTGAGTCCCACTATGTCCCATGGTAGTCGGCTGAGTCCCACTATGTCCCGCTGTAGTCGGCCGAGTCTCACTCTGTCCCGCTGACACGTTCTAGAGACTTTTTCATATTGTTCTAGAGACTTTTTATATTCCAATGACGTCATTGAATTCGACAGTGCTTCCATATCCATGTCAATATGCTTACAATACACCTACCTTGACTGTTTACACCACCGAAGCTATCGGTGACGCCTGCGCTACCGTTACCTACCCACCTATGCTACCGTAACCGATAGCGTCCCATGCTCATCTCACATGCTATTTCATTTAAAATAAATGACTTATTTTAATCTCAATCTTCTGTCTCGCAGCATGCATCATTTCAAACAGCGAATAACAATGGAAGGGCGAGCCGCGAGAGCAGCACATTTCAATTCATGCTTCAATTTATCTGACAGGTACCTATAAATCCATCACAATTTATCCAATGTCAATGCATTTATACAGTGCATATAAATGATTAATGAAACACTTATTGATGATACTCACCGTATCCAGGGATTATTACAAATAATTTATGCGGCGGCCCTTGCAATGTATATTGATATAGAATACGGTACTCTCTTAGCAGACGTCACACCAGTTGCCAGATCTAATGGCCAGTTGAAAAATCTAGAGACTTTTTGAAAAGTCTCTAAATGGGCAGGAAAATCACCCCAGGGGTCAATTAGGGGGCGGGGAACACGAATTTGACACTTATTTTGGCCTAACTCCCCTCCTTCATCCCTTAATCCTCCCTTAAAGGACGGGGTGCGTCAAAAGTGCCTCAAGGATTCGTCTCATCGCCAAAATAAGGGTCGCAATCGATTCCTCGGGTCGATATCTAGCCGCAGCCTTACGTTCCAGATGTGTGCTGCGTTTCCCTTATCCCTTAATCGTCCCTTAAAGGACGGGGCGCGTTAAAAGTGCCTGAAGGGTTCGTCTGATCGCCCCCCTCCCTACGGAGCGCGATATAAGGGGCATTTAAGGGGTAAGGGACCGGTGCCAAACATCTGGACTGGAACCCAAAACTGCGGCTAGATATCGACCCGAGGAATCGATTGCGACCATTATTTTGGCGATCAGACGACACCTTGAGGCACTTTTGACGCACCCCTTCCTCTAAGGGGCGATTAAGGGATAAGGGATACGCTGCACACATCTGGAACGTGAGGCTGCGGCCACATATTGACGCGAGGAATCGATTGCGACCCTTATTTTGGCGATCAGACGAATCCTTGAGGCACTTTTGACGCACCCCGTCCTTTAAGGGAGGATTAAGGGATGAAGGAGGGGAGTTAGGCCAAAATAAGTGTCAAATTCGTGTTCCCCGCCCCCTAATTGACCCCTGGGGTGATTTTCCTGCCCATTTAGAGACTTTTCAAAAAGTCTCTAGATTTTTCAACTGGCCATTAGATCTGGCAACTGGGGTGACGTCTGCTAAGAGAGTACCTAGAATACAACCTAATAATAAACACGCCATAGACATAACACGCGTAATTGAACTAGCAAAAGTCTGTGGAATTACGTTCAAAAGAGTTTTAAATGACGTCATCGATCAACAATTATTTTCTCACGAGCAATGGCTTATCTGATAAAAAAGCTTGAGAAACGTACACTGCTTTACTAATTCGTGGCAATCGGGATTTAAATAATACCTTGAAATCAAAAGATCAGTCAAGATTATTCTTCATTGCGTCATTACATGCTTTTCAACAGCGCTGAAAAAAATTACAGACAGAACAAAATTTTGTTCATGCTTGCTTTGCTACAAATGTGACGCTCAGTATTTATTTTAGTGCTGAAAAGTAAAAGAAAAATAATAATGTATCTGATATCCAAGCTGATATCAACATTTCTGTAAAATCCTTTAAAATGCATTTCAAAATTTAAGCAAAGAAAGCAAAGCAATATGAATGGAGCACTCACTTATTTATGAAATATTTGCCTCACACGCTAAGTGAGTTAACGCACTATCAACAAATTGGCAACTGCGGCAGGCGTATTTTGAATTCACCATAGGGCTCAGCCACTCCTAGCGGAAAATTCTGGGGAATTCTCCCCCTGGCGACAAATGTGGGGAAATGAGCATAAATGTGTAAGTCCCTAGAAACTAATTCTTCCCAAGAAGTCCCCCACTACATTAGTGATGCAAGTTTGACTGGGGTATATTAGAGATGCAAATTACATGAAAAGATGTTATATTTTATGTTAAGATTGAGAAACCGTGCTTATAGTGGAAGGTATGTTAATGATGCAAACATATTAGCGAACTGGGAGTGGTCACTGGTCACCTGCTAATTTTGCGTCATTCCGCTAACGCTAGTTGAGCCAGTTATTGCTTGAAGCGTCATAACTTCGGTATAACTATACATCATTATTTGTTGGCTATTAACTGAGATCTGATTTCTTTATCTTTTAAAGAAGACTTAATATAAGAGAGATGGTAGCATCGTCTTGGTGTCATATCTGATCAAAGCGGCCATCCTCCAATGTCCCAACTTACCCCGCGGCGGGGGGTCAGTTGGGCCAAGGCCTAAGGCAAGTTGGTACACTAGGAAAAACAGTTTATCTAAACACATTTTTATTCATGTTTCACATGAACAATCATCGCTAATCCATGCGGGCATTAACGACAAAACACAAACGTTTGCAGTACTCCTGCGGCAAACAAAAAGGCACACACAACGACACTAGAAGAGAATATTTTCACAGCAAGAAAATCACTTTTGGTACCTTGAAACACATTTGTAGCGATTATTAACAGCACTTACCTCAGCACGCGCCGACACCACGTTGACAAACAGACGGCGTTACTGTTCATGTACAAAATAAGTTTGAACGCCAACTGTCGAGAAGTATTGGAAATATCCCTTCCGTCCCAACTTACCCCCCCCCCCCCCTGGCACCAACTTGCCCCGGTCACCCCCACTTCACCTCTATCACTCAGCGCCCCAGGGGGCGGTTCTGGTCAACACAGGTGGCCAGGCTGTGGGGCGCCGCCGACCGCCTGGCGGAGGCTGCCACGTAGCCGTGCTCCCCGGTGCGCGCGGAGCGGCACGGCCGTCCAGCGGGCCAGCGAGCGCGCCCCCGCACGTTGGTGCTGGTGCGACGGGCAGTGCTGGTCGGCTGGACCGGAATCTGGGTGGCGTTCCGCCGGCAGCCCTGCGCGCCTCCAAACTGGTGCAGAGCGGACTGGCGGCCAGCAGTGGGCAGCTGGCCCCACCTCTGCTGAAAGGCAGCGGCAGCCCTCTCCCAGGTGTCGTCCTGGACGACTGCCTCGCACATGAAGGCTGCCCACTCCTGGATGAACGCCACGGTTTGGCGTGTCCGGTCATCTGAGCGTCGCTGCTCAGCTCCACTGACAGCCGCCGCCGCAGCGGCGGGGTCCTCGAAGTCCATTGCGTCGTCGTCGTACTCCTCGGGACTCGGCGACGGCTGGGGCTGCGCGACTCCGGGGGCGCTGGCGGGCGTGGGGACAGGAGGTGACGAGGTGGACGGCTCGGCGACCAGAGGGTCGAACCAGTTGCCTGGCAGCTGCTGGCTGGTCCCCATGGCGATGTCCATCAAGGCCCTCCGCGTCTCCTTTGTCGCCGTCGCCTCCGGCACAGCGCCAGTCTGCTGCCGCACGGCTCGGAGGTGTTTGCAGCCGCCAGTCCGCCGGTTCATCCTGCAGGTGCAGGCGCCGACGTTCAGGTCCACCAGGTAGGTGATGCCGACCGACGTCAGCGACTTCACCTGATAGGTGAACTCCGTCACCTGTGGGAGGGGCAACACATAAAATCCTGTAAAATTCGTATGTACAGTCTGTCTTAAAAGTACCGCGCAAAGTGACGGTGGATCCATCAAGCCTTACTGAAGAAAGGCCTGCTTTACTTTGAAAGTCACCGAACCAATTGACCTGGGGAATGGACGAGAATATCAATTGCTTTGATGACTCAAATTGAGCAGGCCCTTCCTCGGTCAGGCTTGATGGATCCACCGTTGCTTTTTCGCGGACTTTTAAGACAGACTGTACAACATAAACTGACGGACGGTTACTTGTACGAAAATCCGAACCTGTTCATTCGCCCCAGTACTGTCAGCTTGGCCTTTTAAAACAGACCCCCAAAGGGAAAAAAGAAGAAACAAGAAAAAACGCGAAACGAGTCACGAGATGTGGCACACAGCGCCAACACCACGCGGCCCTACAGTGGCACAGCGGTACAGTGACAGACTCTTGTGTGTGAATGCACAGCAATGTGGTTTATTGGTGCTTAGGGGTGCGCCGATTGCATTGGTCACTTTGCACAGCCATGTGGCAGTACGGGTGGGACCAGCATTGGAAAACGAGCTGTCTTATGTGACCTCAATCAGTTCTCGTGTCATGCAAAATACCTGCGTCACAGTGCCCGTTTCTTGGCTGGTGCCGCCGCGGACCGGTGCCGCCCGCTGCCGGCCGTTGGCCACGTCGCACGCCCTCCTGGCGTAGTGCTTGCTGAGCTGGACCGTGACGAAATCAAACAGCTGCAGCAGGTTGAACGCCCGAGTCCTGGAAAAACAGCGCGTGTCAAGCGAATATTTCAACAATTTCTTTGCAGCTATAATTAACGGTAGACTGCCATCGTATGGACACAATAAGGCTTTCAGAAGAGCAGCCAAAAGCACAACTAACAATTTCACAACCTACCCGAAATGCGAAAGTTTGTTTTTCTTCCACATGTAGGGTTAACAGAAATGTAAAACCGTGATATTCACAAGTTAATCCGTGTTAATCCATGAAAGTCACAAGTTAGTAATTAACGTCTTTGACGAAGGGATGTATGGTCCAATTCCGTTTCGGGGGCTTCAGGCTCTGAACTTTGGCAGACACTGGGGAGAATTGCACAGTCCTAGGGATTTTGATGGTGTTTTCGAGAACATTTTACCGGCTAACTCTCAGCCCTCCGACCTATATTGAAAGGAAAACTACTCCCCTGCTTTGGCTTTTTTTCCAATTATTTGTCTTTATTAATTGGAATTTGTCTGTAACTGCAACTTTGACATTTCTTCAACATTTGCCACTTTTGGGCAACCTTACAACTTGAAATATTTTAAAATAGTAATGAATCTATCGCAATACCTCCGGTCACCGAAACAGTTTTACAATCAACTTTAGTTAAAAGACAGGTTTGTCTATGAACGCCAGGTTAACTGTTTTATTTATTGAACCGCAATTAGGTGAAACATATGAATAAAGACTGACCTGTAGAGGACAGAGTCTTTGAGGACTCTGAAGGCGGACTCTACGATGTTGTTCGTGTTGTGTCCCCGGGTGGGGACATCCGTGCGGAGACACAGCGCCCACTCTTGACGGCGGGCAGCGAAACCCTGCAGGTACTGGTCCAGCAGTGGGTAGCGCTCGCCCCACTCGGTAGCCACCAGCTCCATCGTCGTCGCTATCTCCGCCTCATTGTTGGCGTACACGAGCTGTTTGGCTAGTGCCATGATAGCCTGCCTGTGCTGGAAGAAAATGCACAATTTAACTGGTATCCGAGTGTGGGAGGCGGGAGGGGTGAAGGGTGAAGGGTGAAGGTAAATGTAAATATAGGGGGT